AAGAAAGAAAGAAAGAAAGAAAGAAAGAAAGAAAGAAAGAAAGAAAGAAAGAAAGAAAGAAAGAAAGAAAGAAAGAAAGAAAGAAAGAAAGAAAGAAAGAAAGAAAGAAAGAAAGAAAGAAAGAAAGAAAGAGTAAACTGGGATAAAATATTTGTAAATTTGTCCAGATTAACAAGTGAAAAACTTGGAAAGATGCTATGGCTTTGCCCCTGTGTATGAAAGAAAAGTCTTTTCTCTGTCCCTGTGATCTTTGAAATAAAGAAAGGAAAAGATGTGACCCTGCAGATATGCTTTAAAAGAGATCAAGAGGAATCACTTGTTCTGGGCCCAGGGATGTTTTCGGTACAGGTATGAATACCAGAATCTTCACTGACAGTAAGTTTCAAGGAGCACAGATATGTTTTCATTTTACCCATGCTTGTACTACAGAATAGTGTAGACAAAGATAGTGACTGCCTTTCCTAAATTTTATTGGTTTTCAGAAAAATTTAGATAATGAAGGAAATAATTGTAACAGATTGTGAAACTCTTGGATTTTTGGTTTGGTTTGGTGTTTGGTTTTGTTCCCCCCCACTCCACCCTTTGAAATTATCCATGTATTTCAAAATATTATCAGGATGTGAAATGTCCTGCAGTCTTTAACCAGGAACTATCCTGTTGGTGTGATGCACTACTAGAGCTAAATGTGTTTTAGTCCTGCCTGCCCAAATCCTGTATTTTTTGTTAAGGATTTTTAACATACAACAAGGATTTCCAATATAGACAGTATGATTGAAAATCTGGACTCAGCTGACATCTGCCCCTTTACTGCATCACCAAAAGAAATGAAAGACTGATAGGCTAGCCAAAAACTCAACTATTTAGATTCTGTTGTTAATTAGAAACAGTGAAAATTACTGTTATGAGATCTGGATAGTCCTAGAGTGTCTGAACAGGAAACTTCATAAAATGTAGATAAATGTAATTATTAAAGGTGTAACTTCAGGAAAGACAGTGACAACTTCATTAACATTTTTACTTGAAGATTACTACTATTTGGAAGCCTATCCTTGACAAAAAAGGCTCAGGATTTCAGCAAGTTCAACATCACTTTCCCATCAGTTACATGGTACAGCAACTGCCACACTGGAGGAATCGCAGCAACTCTACCACAAAAAATTGTAGAGCCTCCAGCCACGTTCCCATGTCCCATCTCCAGGTGCAACAGGAATCCTGTGACTTTGGAACAGTCACTAATGTTCAAGGCAATACAGCTCTGAGAGAGATGTATCTTGCAGTTTGAAATGCCCCTAAGACAGATGTATTTTTAGTACTGGGAGGAAAGAGAAATGGTATGCAAGATAGAGAGAAAGAAGTTTCACAGTGCAGCAATATACCATTGATTGTATATATCAGTGATGCTGATATATACAGAACTGCGTCAGATGCCTGCTCAAAAGAAAAAAGCTAGTAAGAAGTCACCTTGTTTTACAGTGTGAGAAAGAAATAACCAGTACATAAAACAGATGTGCTCTCCCCATGACACTGATGTCTCAAATTGAAAAAAAAAGACTTGCCTATATGGATTAAACATGAGGAAATGAATATAGGAAATCAACTTTCTACTAATATTTCTCTTTTTTTTTTCTCTAATTTTTTTTTGAAGTGAAGAAAAGTTATTCCTTTTGAAACAACAACCTTTCTCCATGAGATAGGCAATGAATAGAAATGGTAAATATTTTTCCTGGAAATATTTGCCACTGTATTTTAATTTTTAATGCAAGATCACATAGATCTAAGGACAGTCATTCTTTGATGTTTCATTCAAATAAAGACAAAGGAATCAGAAGAAAATGTATATTTGATTGAAAAATATAGCTAGTAATCTGGTCTCTTGCTTCGTTTGGTGAACATCCCTGCCAGATACTTTTCATGTGTTCTTAAAGACCCCTAGTAATGTAAATCCCTAAACCTCCCTGAACATTTTACTATTGCTCCAGTATTCTATTTGAAAGTTCCATTTTTTCCATTTGCAATTTCTTTTGGTAACATGTACATTCAATTGTACTTTATATAACTAACATAATGGGAAAGACAAATATTCTACATATAAACTCCTCATTTAAAGTTTTCTCAGTAAATTTGTGACAGTAGTGTGATACATTCAAAGATGCCCCTGAGGGAAAATAATTTCTAAATCTATTACAAAGCATTCCCCTCAACATCTCTAGTTTTAAAAGGATTTTTCTTCCAAATACTTTTTGGATTTTTTGGGCCTTTTTCAAAGTTGCTTCTCCCATGCTAGGGATGAGGGCACCAAGAAAGAGCTGAATATTTTGTGAAGGTTGTGGAAACATCCTTGTGGGAGCAGAATGCCAGAATATAGTTCTACAGGCCATATTTGGTCTCTCAGAAAGCAGTGCATGTCTGTCTAGGGAAGAGCAGGGAAAAGAAGAGAGAGCTTTTTTTTTTAGTCCACACTACCCCCACATAAAGCCACATATTACATTATTTTCGAAGAATCACAGAATATACCAAGTTCAAAATGACCCGTGAGGATCAAGTTCAACTTACATTGACTTCTGTGTAGGGAACCAATAGCCACAAAGCTGATCTAAGACACAGCCCACAGGGTTCCCACTAGCTTAGTGGGAAAGGAAATCCCAATACCCTAATCTATTATCTATATTTTATCTTTTTCGTATTTTTATTTTTTTTTATTTATTATATTTCTAATCTTTTATCTATTCAGATAACTCACAGATAAGACATGTTATATTGAAATGTTATGCTATTTGCAGGAAGATGAATTTTACTCTGTGAAATTACAGGAAATTTGACAACAGTGCAGTTTCACTCCATCTGCAAGATCTTGCTATACTATTTCAAATTTTTTAGTAGTTTTCAAAGAAACAGAAAAGATTGCAGGATCTGTTGCAACTTACGGCTCCAGAACTTTCCCACTGATTGAGAATTTCTTGGATTCAGGCACTGCCCACGAGATAGTTGGAAACCATTTTTGCACCCAGTACAGTTCTCATAACTGTACCCAACACAGGTTGCACAGCTCTTGTGGCAAGGTTCGCATTCTCTAGAGATGTCATCGGTGAAGAAGCCATCTCCACACTCACTCACACACGTGCCACCTGCAACAGACATAGCCTGTCATCATACTGACCCCTGTCAACCCTGCAAGGAGGTACCTCATGTATAGCTTCTCTCTCTCCAGCAAGAAATGGTTTAAGAAAAAGAACCAATATATAAGAACGCATGACATTTTTTGCAGCAACATAAACTCTAATTTTTTTAGCATGAAACCTAAATTCAGTTCAGTTGCTTATGTGAGCCTCACAAACTTCAAACCAATCTGCACTTAAATTTATATCTAGCTGGGCTTTAATCAATATGTTAAATCCTAGTACGTACAAATCTTATGGAAGTCCAGGTCTGGATGAAAGTTTTATGTTTGAGTCCCAATTATTATACAGTCCCAATAGAAAACCGATTTTAGACATATGCAGATTTTTGGGATCTCTAGTTTCTGCTGAATATAAAATTAAACTAAGGTAAACCTGATTCAATGTAAGTGTTGGCATACTAAATCTCCTGAAGTTGTTACACTGATAGCTTTTTGAGCTTCCTTCTAATTTCAATTAATAAAATTGTAGACCAGCAGATCACCTCTGGTTGTCACCACAGTTTTCCATGAGTGTGATGCCAGTACTGGGTACCTTCAGCAAGAAATGCACAAGAATATCATAACCCCAGAAACTCCTGTGATTCTTTTTTGGGACCATGTCTGAATCAGACCTGTCTGATTTATGGCTTCTTAATAAAGCTAAGGAATTCCTAGTCTTGCATGAATCTGGTGTGGAATTTAGTGTTTTAACTGAGTTTATTTCAGAGTATTTTAGACTTGTTACTCCACATGCATCTGAAAGTCAAAGTAAGACTAGACTTGCAAATAGAAAGGAAACATTTGAATGTCTTTCCATAGTTAAAGAGAAAATCTAAATCAAATACAAATTTTTTTTATATACCCCAAAGAGTGGAAATTCAAATATATGGCTCCTTTGAATCAAATTACACCACTGGCTAACATAACCACCTTACATTAGTTCAAATGCCTGATTTTGCAAAGGGCTAACTCCCCTCAGCCTCCGCTGTCTGACATAGAACAGATTTAAGAATTTGAGAATTTGGATTCAGAATCTTTCTGTAAAGATGGGGTCTAAAATATTTTTGTATATATGCCATACTTGGCACTTTGCTTACCTGAGAGATAAAAGCCTTCCTCACAGGAGTCACACTTGTCCTTGTCACAGCTATCACAGTTGCTAGGACAATCTCTACACTGCAGAGAACCTTCGTCTCTGTAGGTGTTTTCTGGACAGTATTTATAGCAATGTTGCTTATACCTGTAAGGTAAAATAGAACATCATTAGTAAGTTTCTTTTGAGACCACTGAGTTTGTTTTCTGTGTGTTTCTAGGACTGGTGATGATAAATTCTCATGTCATCTTAGTGAATAGAAATAATTCCTATAATGAGGATTCAAAGTGTATTTATGGTTACGTTGCTTATTCAACTGACAAAGACATGTTTTTTAATCTTATGATTCTTAAGTATAACTAATTTGATTTTTAAATGAAAGCACAAAAATTAACACATGCTTCATTAGAAATTACTGTTTTGCTGTTGTAAAGAGCTGATGGCTTGTAAAAGCATATAATCCAATGCTATGGTTTGTAAATAGATTATAACCAATACGTTCTTTTGTCACGATAATTTTTACAGAGATCTCTTTCCTGTCTCTTTGAAAAGCAGCAGAGTCCTTTTCTCTCTACTTAAGTCAATCTTTTAATGAATTATTTTTTCCTTTGCATAAACTCCATATATTTTTAAGTTTGTCTGATGAACATATGAGCCCATGCCAGAACTGGACACAACCTACTAAGAGCAAACTAGTTATAAATCCAGTTCCAAAGCACAGTTTAACTTATAGACCCACTCTTCATACTCCTCTCTTCTTGTATGCAAAGTTTACATCAGTCCCTAAGTTTTAACAAGCCTTAATTCTGAGTAACTGGTGAGTTTCCAGCATTTCCCAAGTCTTTTCCAAAGTTACTGTTCTCAGACAGGCAGTTTAAGGAAGGAGACAACCTACAGAGCACAGGTCTATGTAGTAGCATACATTTTTGCTTCAGAAAAATATGTAGGCATGAAAAACTATACAGCTATACTTACATATAATAGTTCTGAATGCATGTTATACAGATTCTTGGATCATCTGAAATTAAAAATGTAAAATTCTGTAAATAATTTTCAGAGTTAAAACCAGAATGCTAAAAAGAATTTTTTCTACAACGTATTTATTTTAATATTTCTAACACTAAAATAACTGCAGTCGTAGCAAGAACATTGTTGTCTCTGAATCTCTGTTTACAGTTTTTTGGAGATAAACTCTTCCACAATCAGATCCTGGGTTTTATGTTCATAGTAACCTGTGGCTTTTTAGTCCTCATCATGAACCCAAACAGGTACCTGGAAGACGGTGAATGCTTAGGAAGTGATTATCTGAAAAGCAGCGTATTGACAGGGGCTCAAGTTGGGTAAAATAAACTCTTAAAAGGAGATTTAACTTATCTAAATCTGTAATTTCATCCTCTTTCTTCATTCATTGCAGAGGTAAGTTGAAAGCATTTGACATTTCTAAAAGCAAAACTTTCAAAGACATCTAAGTAATCAGTTTAACCTTAAAAATCCCGAGCTAGACAAGCACCTTTCTGTATGTGGGGAGGGGGTAGTGGTGAGGATGGTATAAGGCTTTTGGGTAAACTTTCTCATCAGAAAATTAATTTTTGTATTCTAAAATTTTTTTTTAATTAACAGGAACATTTAAAACTGTTAAAATTATGGATATGGTTTCATGCTCCCAAAATAAAGAATATTTTCTATAATCTTCCTTCCATTGTTGTCTGTTAGCTTTATTTTCTTTCACCTTAACCAAATATACCAAAGGGAGAAGAATGGAAGGAAAGATAACAATGAATGTATTTATGAATGGTTCTACTGTGAAATACCTATAAATTATTTTTTATATCAACAGTACACATGCAAAATTTTCACTGCATCTGTTAGAATTGTGTCTACAATAAAACACACTTCACGCATGCAAACTTATTAGGCAACACACACACGGTTTTGCAAGTAGGTCTAGCAATTTATCTGTGAGGTGTGAGGTTTAACCCAGAAATGTTGCAGACCTGTGAAAATATTCCCTTTAGTGTTTAAAGCACAAAGAGAAACAGCAATTACCTGATCTACTGTTCTTTGCATTACATTTTATGTTAAGACAGGAAGTACTCCTAAAGTACGAAAATGCTCTCTCTGAAGTCTAGTTTTAATTCCAGGTAAAAGGCATTTGGTTCAGGGTCAGGGGTTTGAGTGATTTATGGTATACTAATATTGTTTCTAAATGAGGACACTTCTTGAGATATTATTTTCCTCAATTAATTTGTGTGGGGTTTTTTATTTATTTTTTATTGTTAGGAGGCCAGTTGTTATGAAGAAAAATAAGAGTATTTATACATTTTGAAAATTATTATAACATTAGTACATACAGTCCTTCTCTTTTGTTGATGGAAAAAATAGAGCACACGTCAAAAACATCGTTAAATTTGTTTGTGTTTTTAGTAATTAATTCTCCATGTACTTTCTGGCTTTTATGGAGAAAGGACTCTTTCCTTTCTTGCCTGTGGGATGTTCTGATTACTCTTTCTTCCTAATTGCCCTCTCAGTTTTACCTGTATGGATGGCTATCTATGTAGCTCAGTTTGAGACAGATCTCAGCAGTAGTTGCAAAGAAAGACTAAATTTATGGTTGTCCTCTGGAAAAAAATTTAGAAGAAACAAATACTAAGTAAGTGACTATTACGTAAAGATAATGTGTTTTGAGTTGGTTTAGGATCTAAAGGAAAGTATCTGGTAAAACATGGGTAAAAATACTTTATTTAGATTGTGAGGTGGAATACACACTGTGGAGAGGGCAAAAAAAAAATATCACTAATAGAACTTGTATTCTGCTGCTTACACAAAGTCTAGACAGAAGTGGCTATAGTAAATGCCTTATTAGAAGGTCACAGATTTCACAGGAGTAGCTAATTTGCTGTATTTCATTTAGGAATGAAGTGAAGCTTTCTTTAAACCTAAGATTTTGAAGGCAGAAGAAGGGGAGAATTTCTTGACAATTTTGCAGAATGAAAGCATGCACTCATTGGACTATGGTAGTGTGAGTTAATTTGTTGTGGGGGGTTTTTTTGGTTTTTTGTTTGTTTGTTTGTTTGTTTGTTTGTTTGTTTTGTTCGGTTTTTATTGGTTTTGTAGGGTTTTGGTTTGGTTTGGTCGGGGGTTTTTTGTTGGTTTTTTGTTTGTTTGTTGTTTTTTTTTTGGTAGTATATTATGGCATTTATCAACCCTTGCTGAAACATTCTTCTTTCTGTCAAAGACACATCCACCAAAGAAAAGATCTGTTACCTTCTATGCTTAGTCATAGTTTCTGAGTTTAAACCATTGAGGAATAATTAACATAGTTTGGAAAGGAATGCAAAGAGGACAACTATCTAATAGCCAGCAGAGAGGAGACTAAATAAGTAACTACTGCTGCAATAGCAAATTTTATATGTAACACATGTCATGTTTCCAAAATCTTGGAAATGAATTATAAGAATGAACTGAGTCTAGGGAATTTTATGGATATATACATGCAGTTTGTTTTTCAACAATGTCTCCTTTAAAATCTGCCACAATCAGTTCTTGGACTAATGGTAACAAACATCCTATGTTCACTGAATACTGAGGTGGCACAAAGAGGGTTGATCTATATGGTGTCCTGCTCCAAAAGACTTCTTCTCGTGACACCTATTAGTATCTTATCTATATTTTACAATTTCCAGTTGCATTTATTTTATCTTTGCCATTCTTTTGAAGACAGAAAGAACAGTGATTTTGATAGCATTGGAAACAACATTCAACTATTTTTAAAACATAAAGCCTCAGACACAACATATTCCTCTGTTTCATTCTGGTTTTTGTCTTTTTTTTTTTTTTTAGAAAAGTAAATATTGCCTAGAGTTCATAGAAAAAGTAATTTGTTTTCTTCCCTTGTGTGTGATAAACTGATACTCCTGTTCCCTTCTCCACACCCAGCCTTCTCAAGTAGAATTCATTTGGAGTGTAGATAAATTATAATACAGAAAAGGTGTGTGCCAAGATTAAATATTGGTCAAAGGTCAAAGAGTCATGCATTCTGTTAGGACTCTGATTTGAAATGAATTAGTGTTCTTTTCTACTCTGAGAGGGAAGTATGGGCATTAACATTACAAGCATATCCTTGTTATGCTGGAAGGGTATTTTTCTTCAAATATGTCAAGGAAAGTGTAATTTGGTTTTTGTGGGTTTTGTTTGTTTGTGGAGTTTTTTTTAGTATTACTCAAGAGGCTTAATAAAATATTTAATTCATATGTTATTCCACATTAAAAATTAGATCAAGACTGCTTTGTAAGTCCTTGTCACTCTTTCACTGTGTCTGAGTGTTCATGGTATTTAAATAGATCCTATTTCTGGAAACTTTACCTGGCTAGCCCACTGTATCTTGGAGTAGCATGTATTCAAAGTATTCCATTCAATTAGACCCAGATCTTGCTATGACTCTTATGCAGACTTTATCTACTGTATACAATAAGGCTGAGAGTTGAAGTGAGGTGCAAGGGTACATTCTGCAGGATCTGTATTTGTTTTTTTTTAACTTTCTGTTTGTTTATGAATAAAAAAAAAATTCTTGACCTATTAATTGGCTCAGACATGGGATTAGAGTGTGCTGAATACATTCAACTTATTTTGCATTCAGAAGTAGTTCAATACCTGGGAATTAATGCCTAGTTTACATTTCTTTTCCAGTTTAATTAAATGTAATGACTGAAAATTATTTTGTATTATATTGCAGTTTTCCTTTAAGACCAGCCGGCAGTAGTTGCTTAATTTCAGAAGTTACTGCTCAACTTTATTTGTCTTTTACACCCCTGAACAATAATTTACATTATTCTAAAAATAAAAGTACTATAAATTATCATATACCACCAGCAAGAATAATTATATGTTTTAGCTACATTAGACCACTTTTTCTTTAGTTTTGATGGCATCTCAATTAAAAAAACAGACTTAAAAACTATGTATTCTGTGAGAACTCCCTAGTATCTCACCAGACATTGTCGACCCAGACTATAGTGAGATTTGCAATGCATACGAAGCCCCAAAGTGTGATTTTAAGCAGAGAAGTTATTGCACACAGGGCTACAAAGAAGAACTAGAGTTCATTCCTACTCCTAGCAAAAGAAAAGGTAAGAGTACTTCAACAGAAATGAGATCAGGACATCAGCAGTACTGTTTAACAATTAAAGGGCTTTCAGTTTGTTTGTCTTAGATTGTATCCTATCACTCAAATGTTCTGTTATCTACTCTAGTGGCTGTGGTTTCCACCTGGCAAAATCTCAGTGTGATGATTTCAAGATGCAAGAAAGCTGAACACTGCTAAGACTGAAGTTTCTGTGTTTTAAGTTGCATTTTCTGAACATGAACATTATGTTGAGATGATCCCTTGTGTTTGAATATTTTCCTACACAGGTAGTTCCTCTGAGTGAATAACATTACCCAAAGGATGCTGTCCTACAAGCAGCAATAGAGATTTAGGGCCAAAGCTCCTAAATTTACATCAGACATCAGTACAGGTTTAACCACGAATTTGAACATCTGGATTTTATTGGTCTCCCATTAAAAACATATTTATGCATGAAGAACTCATTGGATACATCTTCTCTATATGAGGAGAATCCAGTGCTACAGTCAATAAGTGGTTCTATGATGCAATTCCTTATTTGAAAGATCAAGAGCCTGAGCTTTAGGTTAGTATGCACCCAAAGAATTGTGTACACAGTGAAGTAGAGTTGCTAGAATAGAATAGAATTGTTCCAGTTGGAAGGTGCCGACAATGATCATCTAGTCCAAGTGCCTACCAATTTAGGCCTGAACAACAGTTAAAGCATATTATTAAGGGCATTGTCCAAATGCCTCTGAAACAATGACAGACTTGGGGCATCCACCACCTAGTTGGCCAAGCCTGTTCCAGTGTTTGACCACCCTTGTGGTAAAGAAATGCTTCGTGGTGTCCAGTCTTGAAGCAGGAAGGGTTAATTGGGACTGTGGGCCCATAAGGGCCCCTACCCCCCTGTACAC